TGCTGCTGCTGCTGCTGTTGCTGCTGTTGCGCGGTGTCTGTACACCCCAGGGGGTGTACGCGCAGCTGCGCCAGCGCCCGCCAGCAGCTGCGGAAACTGCGCATTTAAAAGCAATTTTGGATCCATTTTTTAATTTAAATTCAAATATTTATTTAAATTTTATTTTTAATGCAAAATAAAAGGAGAATTGGGGCTTTTTTCCCAGTTTTGCATGCAAATTCCGGTTCTTGAATGGCCGAGTTTGGAATTTTCGCCAAATTACCCCTGGGGCGAGTTCTTCAGTCTTTTGAAGTTCTCTTTCCTCTAAAAGTGAAGTTCTTCTTTTTAAAATCCTTTTGAGGATTTATTTATTTAAATTGGTTTAAATGGGCCTTTTTAATGTGCTGCTGCTGCTGCTGCTGCTGCTGCTGCTGCTGCTGCTGCTGCTGCTGCTGCTGCTGTTTTGCTTCGCAGCTCATGGCCATTCAAGCAGAACATGAAAAAAATAAATCCGACTTCCAAAGAGTGGCGCTGCTGCTCGCCATGCAGCACCTCCCGGACTTTGGGGCTTGTGGGGCCCCACAAACGCATGCAGAAACGCATGCAGAAACGCATGCAAAAACGCATGCAAAAACGCATGCAAAAACGCATGCAGCGGCCCCAGAAGCCGACTCGCCCCAGGGGGCCCCCACCGAAGGGGGGGCCCCCCAGGAAGAGGGGGGCCCCCAGGAGGGGGCCCCCCTGCCCGGGGGGGCCCCCGGGGGGCCCCACGGGGGGGCCCCCCTAGAGGGGGGGGGCCCCCAAGAGGGGGGGGCCCCCGTGTCGGGGAAGTTTGGAACTGGGAGTTTGGAGAGTTTGTGCAGAAGACCAAATGAAGAAGGAATTGATGTAATTGGGACTTTGAAAAGATTTCATAAAAAGTGTTACAGGCTGGATAATATGGCCGTGGCCATCAGGTGAAGCTGAGCTAGGGTTTGGGGTTTAGGGTTTGGGCTAGGGTTTGGGGTTTAGGGTTTGGGCTAGGGTTTGGGGTTTTAGGGTTTGGGCTAGGGTTTGGGTTTCTAGGGATTGGGGTTTGGAGGGTTTGAACTAGGGTTTGGGCTAGGGTTTGGGGTTTTAGGGTTTGGGCTAGGGTTTGGGGTTTTAGGGTTTGGGCTAGGGTTTGGGGTTTTAGGGTTTGGGCTAGGGTTTGGTTGGCTTTAGCAGGTTTAGTCGGGTTCAGGGTTTCCTAGGGTTCACAAGGGGTCAGCAGGGTTTATAAGGGTTTTGCGTTTATTGGGGTTTAGGGTTTTGGGTCTATTAGGGTTTAGGGTTTTGGGTTTATTGGGGTTTAGGATTTTGGGCTTATCATCAGGGTTTAGGGTTTAGGGTTTAGGGTTTGCTAGGGTTTGGGGTTTTGGGTCTCCGGTTTAGGGCAACTTCAGCTTAGGGCATGGGGAGTGTCTGCAGAGACTAGGATTAGGGTTTAGGGTTTAAGGTTTAGAGTTCAGGGTTTAGGGTTTAGGGTTTGAGGTTTAGGGTTTAGGGTTTAGAGTTTAGGGTTTAGGGTTTAGGGTTTGTGCTTACAGAATGGGCCGAGGGAAAAATGGAGAGCCGCTGCAGCTGCCGGACGTAATTAAGATAGTCTCTGATGCCTTTGAGAGGGCAGCAGCAGCAGCAGCAGCACCAGCAGCAGCAGCAGCAGCAGCAGCAGCACGAGCAGCAGCAGCAGCAACAGGAACAGCAACAGCAGCAACGGCAGGGGCGAGCGAAAACAGCAGCAGCGGCGCGAGTCTGCTGCAGCAGCAGAGCAAGCTAGCAGCAGCAACCAGTGGTCAAGCTGCAGCAGCAGAAGCAGCTGCTGCTGCTGTTGCTGCAGGCGGTGCTGCTGCTGCTGCTGCTGCTGCTGCTCAGCCAGCCACAACCAAAAAAGACGATCCCGAGACCAAAAACGACGATCCCAAAACTGGAAAAGGCGATCCCACAACTGGAGACGATCCCAGTGCCAAAAATGACGATCCCAGTGCTCAAAAAGGCGATCCCAAGGCTCAAAAAGACGATCCCAGTCTCCAAAAAGACGATCCCAATCTCGAAAAAGACGATCCCAGTGCTGGAGTCGACCCCACAGCTGAGAGCGGCGAGGAGAAGCGGCCCCAGGGTACTTTTAAAACATGCAAAAATGGATTTATTTTATCATTTTTTCTCCCGTTTTTTTGCTTTTTGCAAAGAATTAAATGCCAATTGCATTGCATGCGTTTATTTAATTCAAATTGTCCTTTTTTTCCCGAATTTTGCATTTAATTTGCTTCTTTTTGCTCCATTTGGCTCCCCACAAATGTCCCCTTTTGCTGCAGGAGTTACCCTGCGGGTGGTGGCTGCCCACGGCTGGCGGCCTCGCCTGGCGATCTTCTGGGCAGCCCCAGGCTGCAGCAGCAGCAGCAGCAGCAGCAGCAGCAGCAGCAGCAGCAGCAGCAGCAGCAGCTGCAGCTGCAGCAGCAGCAGGGCAGCAGAGCAGCAGTGCCCGCCTTCTTCGCTGCTGCTGCACCTTCTGGAACACCCAATGCCGGGGGGACTTATGGACACTCTCATACGCAAAGGTGCGCCTAACAAAGCCCCAAAGTGCATGCATGCATGCATGCATGCATGCGTGCGTGCATGCATGCATGCATGCGTGCGTGCATGCATGCATGCATGCATGTGTGCATGCAGCCTCATCAAAGCCCCGGACTCGTGTCCGCATGCATGCATGCATGCATGCATGCATGCATGCATGCATGCAAGGGGCATGGGGGGCAGCTCTGGCTGCTGCGTTTGCTGCTGCAGGCAGCTGCAGCAGGAGGTTGCTGCTGCAGGTGGCTGCATGCATGCATGTGGGGTTTTGTGTCTTGAAGATTATTTTTTTTGGGGCTTTTTGTTTTTCAGGTTTAATTTACGAGGGCTTTGGGCTTTCGCATGCAACTTCTCGGAGTTTCATTTTGGGGCTTTATTTGAAGTTAACTGCTGCTGGGCAGCAGCAAGTTGCTGCAGTGCTGCAGCAGGTGCGGCGCTTCGTGCTGCTGCTGCAGCAGCAAATCGATGCTGCCTTCATCAGCAGCCACTTCGAAGGCTTGGGGGCCCTCAGCAGGGCCCTTTGGGGGGCCCTGGACCCTCTGGACCCGCTGCAGCAAGTAGCAGCAGCAGCAGAAGCAACTTTGCTGCTGCCTTCTCGCCCAGACATAGCCCTCAACACTGGCCTTTGTCTGCAGCCGCTGCAGCAGCAGCAGCAGCTTGCTGCTGTCAAGCAGCTGCTGCATGCGCTTGTCAAGGGCAAGCAAGTCACTGTCTTCCTGGGGCCCCCGGGGGCCCCCGGGGGCCCCCAGGGGCCTGGGGGCCCCCAGCAAGGGCAGCAGGGGGCCCCCCAGGGGGCCCCCCTCGCAGCAACAGGGGCCCCCGCAGCTTCGGGGGGGCCCCCCAACGAAGAAGCAGCAGCAGCAGAAGAGGGGGGCCCCCACCAAGCAGCAGCAGCAGAAGAGGAGGGGCCCACAGCAGCAGGAGGGGCCCCTGCAGCAGCAGGGGGGGCCCCCGGGGCCCCCAAGGGGGGGCCCCCAGGGCCACTTCGGGAGCTGCCGGAGTATGGGGTACAGTACTACGTGGAGCCGACTGAGGAAGCAGCAGCAGCAGCAACAGGAGCAGCAGCAGCAACAGGAGCAGCAGCAGCAACAGGAACAGCAGCAGCAGCAACAGCAGCAGACGATGTGGGTGGTGAGGGGGGCCCCCTGGGGGCCCCCCTGTCTGTGCCGGGGCCCCTTGCATGCAAAGTACCCGAAGAAGGCCCTGTGAAGCCCCACCCAGTGCCGGCGATTTGTGCTGCTGCTGCTGCTGCTGCTGCGCAGCTGCCGTCGCTGGGGGCCTTCTCCGCAGCAGCAGCAGCAGCAGCAGCAGCAGCAGCAGCAGGGGGGCCCCCCGGGCCCTGCGTGCTGCTGGCCGACGAAAACTTGACCATCTTGTGGCACAATGGGGCCCCCTTCGGGAAGCCCCTGGTGAGGGCCTCGGTGCGGGCGCGAGTTGCTGCTGCAGCAGCAACAGCAGCAAATGATGCTTTTGCAAAAATGTTTGTTTCCATCTTTTCCAAAAAAACAAAAACCAAAATGAGTCATCTTCATGGCTGCGGAGTTGAACTCCTCGTGGCCTTCACTTCAGGCAGCCTTGTCTTCGAAATCCAGGCAAGCCTGCAGCAGCAGCAGCAGCAGCAGCAGCAGCAGCACAGCAGCAGCAGCAGCAGCAGCGCAGCAGCAGCAGCAGCACAGCAGCAGCAGCTGCTGCGGCTGCGGCTGCAGCAGCGCTCCTTTTCTTATTTGTCTCTCTGTTGTTGCAGTGGAGTTGGTTCTGTTTTAAAGTTCTTTTTCTATTTTCCTCAATTTGCTTTTCTTATTTTTCATTTTTATCTTTTTTGTTTTATTTCATTTTGCTGCTTCCATATTTGTCTTCACTGAATTGCTGCTATTAAAACCCCACACTGCACTGCAGCTTCTACCTGGACAGCAGCAACAGCAGCAACAGCAGCAGCGGCAGCAGCAGCAGCAGCAGCAGCAGCAGCAGCAGCAGCAGCAGCAGCAGCAGCGTTTTGCGGTTTTTGCTGCTGCAGGCTTTGAGCCCCATGTTTGAAGAGACCTTCAAAGGAGTCGGAGAAGCTTTTCAACAAACTTTGGAAAGCATCACAGAGACAGAGTTCCAACAGGCCTTGCAGGAGGTGAGACGGCTAGCTAGCTGTAGCTAGCTAGCTGTAGCTAGCTAGCTGTAGCTAGCTAGCTGTAGCTAGCTAGCTGTAGCCAGCTAGCTGCAGCTAGCTAGCTGTAGCTAGCTATAGCTAGCTAGGTGTGGCCAGCTAGCTGTAGCTAGCTAGGTGTAGCCAGCTAGCTGTAGCTAGCTAGCTGTAGCTCGCTAGCTGTAGCTAGCTGGCTGTAGCTAGCTGGCTGTAGCCAGCTAGGTGTAGCTAGCTAGTTGTAGCTAGCTAGCTGTAGCTAGCTAGCTGTCTCACCTCCTCAGCTAGCTGGCTGCAGCTCTGGCTGGCTGTCTGCCTGTCTGGCTCGCTGCTTCTGGCTAGCTAACAGCTAGCCAGGTAGCTAGCCGGCTAACAGCTAGCCAGCTAGCTAACTTGCCAGTTACCCAAGCGAGTTGCCAGCTAGCTGGCTAGCCAGCCAGCCAGCCAGTAGCTAGCTAGCCAGCCAATGGCTAGCCACGTGACTAACTATCTACCTCGCCAGCAAGCCAGCCAGTCAATAGCTAGTTAGCTAGCTAGTTAGCTGACTAGCTAGATAGCTAGCTAGCTAGCTAGCTAGCTATATAGGGGCTAGCTAGCTGGCTAGCTAGCTGGCTAGCTGGCGCGCTGCGGCTGCGGATTCTTCTCTGTTACTGCGGGAAGGCGAATAGCACTGAAATAAATGAAATTGAGTTAAATTAAAATAAATAAAATTAATTAAATTAAATTAATTAAATGAATAAATTGGATTTATTTTTGTTTTGCTGCTGCTGCTGCTGCTGCTGCTGCTGCTGCTGCTGCAGCTGCTGGAAGAGACGCAAGACTTCGCAGCTTCCAGCGCCTACGAATTGGCTTTGGATTTATCTCTCTCGCTGCTGCGGCAGAGCCGCTTCAGCCAGTTTGACTTGCTGCAGCAGCTGCAGCAGCTGCAGCAGCAGCAGCAGCAGCAGCAGCAGCAGCAGCAGCAGCAAGGGGGATTTGAGGCATTCAAGGCCTTTCTCAGCAGCAGCTTCACTCGCACTGCAGTGGACTGCTTCATCATGGGAGATATTGCTGCAGCAGCAGCAAAAGATTTGGCGCTGCAGTTCGTGCAGCAGATCCGCAGCAGCACAATTACCTACGAAGAAGCAGCAGCAGCAAAGGTGACCTTTGCTGCTGCTGCTGCTGCTGCTGCTGTTGCTTCCGGTCGATTGCAGTTCCCGCTCCTGTTGCTGCTGCTGCTGCTGCTGCTGGTGCTTCTAGCCTGCTGCTGCGGGTTCGCTGCAGCAGCAGCTGCTGCTGGAGCGTGCGCGCATCGCGTCTGGTTTGCTGCTGCTGCTGCTGCTGCTGCTGCTGCTGCTGCTGCTGCAGACGGCGAAGCTGGGGGGCGACGTGGAGTTGGTTTTGAAAAACCCGATCCCAGGAGACAGCAACTCGGTTTATTTGTCTCTCTTTGTCTTTGAGGGGCCCGACGTGCTGCAGCTGCTGCTGCTTGCTGCTGCAGCACAGCTGCTGCGGGAGCCTTTCTTCGAAGAGTTAAGAACAGAAAACAAAGATGGATATGTTGCAGCAGCAGAGCTGCTGCAGCTGGCTCCTGCTGCTGCCATTGCCACTATAGTCCAGGTGAGCAGCAGCAGCACAACACCCCTGCTGCTGCTGCTGCTGCTGCTGCTGCTGCTGCTGCTGCTGCAGCAAGGGGAGCAGCAGCAGCGACAGCAACTGCTGCACTCCCTGCAGCAGCGTGCTGTTCCCCAGCCCCTCGAACCCCCCAACCCACCTCCGACCCCTACCCCCAAACCCTAAACCCTAAACCCTAAACCCTAAACCCTAAACCCTAAACCCTAAACCCTAGCTGCTGCGCTTTCTTGTCAGAGTTCGGTGAGGACCCCCCAGCAGCTGCAGCAGCACGTCTGCAGCTTTTTGCACGAAATTTCGAGCAGCTTCGGAGAAGGTGTGGGGCCGCTGCAGCAGCGGCTGCAGTGGATTGGAGACAGCCAACTGGCCAGCCAAAGAAACTCCTTCGCAGACTTCTTCGAAGGGTCCTGCTGCTGCTGCTGCTGCTGCTGCTGCTGCTGCTGCTGCTGCTGCTGATGCTGCTGCTGCTGCTGCTGATGATGACGATGATAATGATGCTGATGATGATACGGATGATGATGATGATCATGATGCTGCTGCTGCTGCTGCTGCTGCTGCTGAGGGTTGCGCTGGTACTGCTGCTGCTGCTGTTGGTGCTGCTGCTGTTTTGCTGCTGTTGTGTTGCTTGTATTGTGTATGGTGCTGCTGCTTTGCAGCTGCTTTGCTGCTGCTGCTCGTGCTGCTGCTGCTGCTGCTGCTGCTGCTTCTACTATTTCCACTACAACTGCTGCTGCTGCTGCTGCTGCATCTACTATTTCTACTCCAACTGCTGCTGCTGCTGCTGCTGCTGCTGCTGCTGCTGCTGCGCTCAGGGTTGCTTCCCAGTTGTCTTCTCGGAAGCTTTGCTTTACGGAGCCGCAAGTGAGAAAATAAAATAAAATAAATTAAATTAATTAAATTAATTAAATTAAATTAAATCAATTAAAATAAATTAAAATAAACAAATAAACTAATTAAATTAAATTAAATTAAATTAATTAACTTAATTAAATTAAATAAATTAAAATAAATTAAAATAAATAAATAAATAAATAAATGCTTTATTTTGATTATTCGGTTTGCTGCTGCTCTGTAGATGTGACTAAGGCGCATGCAGTTGCATGCGCATTTATTTGTCTTTATTTATTTGTTTATTTATTTATTTATTTATTTATTTATTTATTTATTTATTTATTTATTTATTTATTTATTTATTTATTTATTTAAATTATTTAAATTAATAAATTAAAAAAGAAATATAATTAATTTAATTTTTATTTGCTGACAAAATAAACCCCGGCTGCTTCCTTCTAACCCACGGAGTCATTACAGGCATTTAAAAACGCCTGCTGCTGCTGCTGCTGCTGCTGCCGCTGCTGCTGCTGCCGCTGCTGCTGCTGCTGCTGCTGCTGCTGCTGCTGCTGCTGTGCTTCAGTTAGCTGCTGCTGCTGCCAGCAGCGTCCCTGATTGCCCAGAAATCCTCAAGAAGTATTTGACTGACCTCACCATGGGGCCCTCTAGCCGGCGGGTGACTGTCAAGGTTAGCTGCTGCTGCTGCTGCTGCAGCTGCTGCTGCTGCTGCAGCTGCTGCAGCTGCTGCTGCTGCTACTGCTGCTGCTGCTGCTCGTAGCTGCTGCTTATACGGTCGGGACCAGCTAATCGCAAATGTGTTGTGCATGCGTAGCAGTATACATCTCACGGAGTTTAACGTAGGGTTTAGGGTTTAGGGTTTAGGGTTTAGGGTTTAGGGTTTAGGGTTTAGGGTTTAGGGTTTAGGGTTTAGGGTTTAGGGTTTAGGGTTTAGGGTTTAGGGTTTAGGGTTTAGGGTTTAGGGTTTAGGGTTTAGGGTTTATGCAGGGCGCGGGAAACACCCCCGCGTTGGTGAACAGTTTGTTGACTTCGCTGTGCAACATTTCGCCCTTCTTTAGGGTTTAGGGTTTAGGGTTTAGGGTTTTAGGGTTTAGGGTTTAGGGTTTAGGGTTTAGGGTTTAGGGGGGTTTAGGGTTTAGGGTTTAGGGTTTAGGGTTTAGGGTTTAGGGTTTAGGGTTTAGGGTTTAGGGTTTATGCAGGGCGCGGGAAACACCCCCGCGTTGGTGAACAGTTTGTTGACTTCGCTGTGCAACATTTCGCCCTTCTTTTGGGTTTTGGGTCTGGGGTTTACTCTCTCCATCTCTTATTCCTATCTTCTGCTCCCTTCTTTGTTTCTTTTCAGATAGAGGCAGCAGCACCGCAGAGCAGCAGCAACAGCCGCAGCAGCAGCAGCAGCAGCAGCAGCAGCAGCAACGGCAGCAGCAGCAGAACTGCTGATGAGTCGCAGTGCATTCTGCGGGGAGCTGCTTCGGAGCTAGCGCTATCTGGGGCTGCTGAGGCCTCTAAAAGCCCTGCTGCTGCTGCTGTTGCTGTTGCTGCTGCTGCTGCTGCTGCGCAGCAGCAGCAGGTGTGGGGCCCCACAGGCGCTGCTGTAGAGACAGTGGGGGCCTCAGATGACGCAGAATTGGGAGAAATAAAAAAGGGAAAAAAAGGAAAAGAAATAATTCAATTCTGCGCCAAAGAAACGGAGAACTCGTGCGCTGGCTTTGCTGCTGCTGCTGCTGCTGCTGCTGCTGCTGCTGCTGCCGCTGCTGCTGCTGCTGCTGCTGCTGCTGCTGCTGTCCTTTCCACTTTCTGTTTTGGCTGTCGTGGAGACTCAGGGCGCTGGGTGCTCTACTGGTTCTCAGCGGTCAACCCTAAACCCTAAACCCTAAACCCTAAACCCTAAACCCTAAACCCTAAACCCTAAACCCTAGTTTGTTGTGCGCGCGCAGCTCGCGGCCCTCGATAACTTTGCGGAACTTTGCAAAAGACCCTTCTGGGGAGCGGCGGAAGCTGCTGGAGTTTTTGGAAAAGAAAGTGTGGGGTGCTGGGATCGCCTCCGATCCCGATCCCAAAGACGATCCCAGAGGCGATCCCAAAGACGATCCCAGAGGCGATCCCAGAGACGATCCCAGAGACGATCCCAAGGGTTTGTGGGCTGCTTATGACTTCAGCCAGCAGTGCACAATTAGGCCAAGTTCTTTGGCTGCAGCAGCAACTTGCCGCAGCAGCAAAATCGCAGCAGCAGAACAAGACTTGCTGCTGCTGCTCCCAGCAGGGGGCCCCCCAGCAGCAGGGGCCCCTCCCGAGGGGGCCCCCCCTGTGGGGTCTTCTCCAGATGGGGGGCAGCCAGAAGCAGCAGCAGCAGCAACTGCAGCAAACCCCCTGCAGCTGCAGGCTCAAGCAGCAGCGACACAGCAGCAGCAGCTGGTGCAGCAGCAGCAGCAGGCCGCAGCGCAGCAGCAGACAGCAGCAGCACCACCGGCGCAGCAAAATGGACCACTGTTCCTGTCCCCGCAGGCGTCTCAAGGGATCCTCCAGCAGCAGCAGCAGCAGCAGCAACAACAGCAGCAGCAGCAGCAGCAGCTGGTGCAACAGCAGGTGCAGCAGCAGGTGCAGCAGCAGGTGCAGCAGCAGGTGCAGCAGCAGCAGATGCAGCAGCAGGCTGTGCTATCAGCGGCAGAGCTGGAGCTGAAGGCGCTGCAGAACGCGTGGTTGCTGCTGCAGCAGCAGCAGCAACTGCTGCTGCTGCAGCAGCAGCAGCAGCAGCAGCTAATTCAGCCCAGAGTTGCTGCTCTCCGCAGATATGGCATAACTCCCTCTGTGGTCTTTGCTGCTGCTGGTGTGGGGCCCCACAAGCAGCTGCTGCAGGAGGGCCCCGTGCTGCAGTTGGGTTCTCATTCTTGGGGGCCCCTGCCCGTGGGTCTGTCCCGGCAGCAGCAGCAGCAGCTGCTGCTGCAGCAGCAGCAGCGGCTGCTGCAGCAGCACCTGCAGCAGCAGCTGCTGCAGGCGAAGCGGCAAGCCATTGAGCAGCAGATCTCCCAAATCCGCGGCAGGCTGGCGCTGCAGCAAGCAGCAGCAGCAACAGCAGCAGCAGCAACAGCAGCAGCAGCAGCAGCAGCAAACAATATGCAGCAAGCAGCAGCAGCAACAGCAGCAGCAAATCTGCAGCAAACAGCAGCAGAACTCTAACGCAGCAACTCGAATCCCAAGGCTCAGCAGCCTTCCAAAGCCTAAACCCTAAACCCTTGAATCCGAGGCTGAAGCAAGCCTCTGTGCTGCTGCTGCAGCAGCAGCAGCAGCAGCAGCAGCAGCAGCAGCAACTGTGACTTAGGCGCTGCAGCAGCCTTATAGAGTTAGAAGTGTGGGGCCCCACAGCAGCAGCAGCAATATTCATATTCTTTTGTTTCTTTTCCTTTTGTCCTTTTTAATTTCATTTCCTGTTAAACGCAGTGTTGTTGTCTGAAGCAGTTGCTGCTGCTGCTGCAGCAGCCGCAAAAGCAACAGCAGCAGCAGCAGCTGCTGCTGCTGCTGCTGCTGCTGCAGTAGCGGCAGGAAGCGCAGCTGTGTGGCAGCGCGTGCTTCTCGCGGGGTGAATAGCTGTTTCGAACTTTTCATTTGCTGCTGCTGCAGCAGTAGCAGCAGCAGCAACAGCAGCAAAGAGACCAACAGAAACAGCAGCCGCAGCAGCAGCAGCAGCAGCAGCAGCAGCAGCAGCAGCAAGGGGTCTATTTAGTCTGGTTTTGTTATTTCGCCAAAGTCCGACTTCCTTTTTGAAGCAGCAGTTTGAAGCAACGCCTCAAAAACCCAGCAGCTAGCTGATAGCTAGCTAGCTAGCTAGCTAGCTTGCTTGCTAGCCAGCAGCTAGAGATCTAGCTAGCTAGCTAGCCAGTAGTTCGTGACCAGCTAGCTAGCCAGCCAGTAGTTGGTGGGCTAGTTTGTTAGCTAGCCGGCCAGCTAGCTATAGCTAGCTGAGTAGCCCCCAAAGATTCGGGCAGCTAGTTAGCAGGCTAGCTAGTGGGCCTCTCAGGAGGCTGGCTAGCTAGCTAGCTAGCTAGCTAGCCAGCTAGCTAGCTAGCTAGCTAACCGCCCGACTAGCTAGCTAGCTGGCTAACTAGGTGCGGCCAAAAACTAGCTCCCTGACTAAACCCCCGGGTAGCTAGCTGGCTCCCATTCAACAGCTAGCCTAGCTAGCTAGCTAGCTAGCTAACCAGCGGGCTCTATTTGGCTGGCTAGCTAGCTAGCTAACTAGTTTCCAGCTAGCTAGCCAGCTAGCAGGGTAGGTGGCCAGCTAGCTAGCTAGCCAGGTAGCTAGCCAGCTAGCCAGGTAGTTGGCCTGCTAGCTACCTAGCTAGGCAGCTAGCCAGCTAGCTAGCTATCTGGCTAGCTAGCTAGCTAGCTAGCTAGCTAGCTGGCTAGCTAGCTAGCTAGCTAGCTGCTTTGAGCGCACCGTATAGCTTAAACCGTAAGATCCTGAGCCCCTTTCAGGGCGCGGCCAGCTAAACCCTTCGCCGCAAACCCTAAACCCTAAACCCTAAACACTAATCCCTAAACCCTAAACCCTAAACCCTAAACCCCCGGCCCGCCAAGCCCACACCCTAGATCCCAAACCCTACAGCCTAAACTCCAAACCCTAAACCCCAAATCCTAATCTCTGAACCTCCATCCGTAGACCCCAAATTGCAAACCCTAGTCCCCAAACCCTAAACCCTAAACCCTAAACCCTAAACCCTAAACCCTAAACCCTCGCTAGACAATCTTCATGAGCCAGTCTTTGGAACCTTTGATGAACTCTTTTGCCAAAGAAGTCTCGAGCCCGTGGTTGCGGTACATGCCCGCCTGCGCCAGTGCCTGGGAGAAGCTGCAGCAGCAGCAGCAGCAGCAGCAGCAGCGGCAGCAGCAGTGGCAGCAGCAGCAGCAGCAGCAGCAGCAGCAGCAGCAGCAGCAGCAGCAGCAAAAGGGGAGGGGACAAATAAAGTGGATTAATGATCAAAATAATGAAAGTTGAAAATAAACAACTCCGAATTAGTTTGTTTTAATTCACTTTTTATAAATTTGTCTATTGAGGAAAAAAAGGAAAATGCCCAGCAGCAGCAGCAGCAGCAGCAGCAGCAGCAGCAACAGCAGCAGCAGCAGCGGAGGGCTTCAGGGGAGAAACCAGAACAAACATTTTAAAGTAAATTAAAAGAATTAAAAAATATAAATTCAGATGATTAAATTTTGGGAAATGCTGCAGCAACTAGCAAGGGCAGCAGCAGCAGGGAATGCATGCACTGCAGCAGCAGCAGCAGCAGCAGCAGCAGCAGCAGCAGCAGCAGCAGCAGAACCCTCCTAGTGTGCAGCAGCAACGCGCTAATAAGCAGCAACAAAGGACCCAGTTTGAGCCAGCAGCAGCAGCAGCAGCAGCTGCTGCTGCTGCTGCTGCAGGATGCTTACGAGGAGCTGAGGCCGAACTGGGGCCGCTGCAGCAGCTGCAGCTGCTGCAGCTGCTGCTGCTGCAGCTGCTGCAGCAGCAGCCCGTGGGCCTTGCTGGAGGGTCTGTACACCGCAGAGGCGCAGCGAACCCCCGAAGTCGTTGTGGGCAAAGGCAAAGGCTCCAGCTCTCCGCTTTCTAAGAGAGAAGGCTTCCTCCGCTGCTGCTGCTGCTGCTGCTGCTGCTGCTGCTGCTGCTGCTGCTGCTGCTGCAGGTGGAGCATGGGCAGGCTGGTGTACTGGAAGGTGGCGGCAGCCCCGCTGCTGCTGCTGCTGCTGCTGCTGCTGCTGCTGGGGGCTTCCATGGCTGGTTCGGGGGGTTCGCTCAGCCTTTAACAGTGCCTTTTGGGCTCAGGAAACTGAGGAGTTCAGTCTAGAGTTTAGGGTTTAGGGTTCAGGGTTTAGGGTTTAGGGTTTGGGGCATAGGGTTTAGGGTGTAGGGTTTAGGGTTTGGAGAACTGAGGTGTACGTACACCTCAGGAGCGAGCGCCGAGAGGCTCGAGAGCGGCGCCAGCGCAACTCGCTGCCGCCAAGCGCGGCTTAAAAGGAGTTTTTAATGGTTTAAATGGACATTAATTTGAATAAAATGAATAAATTTAATTAATTTTGATTTAATAATTCAAATTTATTCGAAAAAAGGGAAAAAATCCGAAGAATAAACCCCAGACCGCCGGCGCGGCCGGCTGCGGGTCACCGCAGCGCTGCGAGGCGACGGAGGGAAACCCCTTTGAAATGAATCGCAAATTAAATTAAATTAAATTAAATTAAATTAAATTAAATTAAATTGATTTAATTTAATTAATTTATTTATTTGTTTTAATAAATTCAAATTAAAAGCCGTGGGAGCTCAAGAGGTTTCGTCACCAGTCTGCTGCCAGGCAGCCGACAGCAGCAACTCAGTGGCAGTTCTTCGTTTAAATTCGAAATTAATTCATAAAAAACAAATAAATAATAATTAAAACGACAAATAATCCAAATTAAAATAATAATGGAGAAAAAATGGGAAAAAACCATCATTTTAGACCGCGGGAGGCCTCCGTGGCTCAACTGCAACCCTAAACCCTAAACCCTAAACCCTAAACCCTAAACCCTAAACCCCAAACTTTAAACCTTGAAAGGAGATCCATGAAGCCTAAACCCTAAATGATAAGCCCTAAACCCTAAATGGCAAACTCTAGACCCTAAACCATTGCTTTAAAGCCCCGCTGGCCAACAGAATTTGCCCCCAAAACTGGGCTAAACCCTAAACCCTAAACCCTAAACCCTAAACCCTAAACCCTAAACCCCAAGCCTCAATCAATAAACCCTTGCCACTTTGCCCTAATCACTAAACCCTAGACAACTGGAGTGCCCCCAAAGATATAAATAGATATCAAAAGGCTAGATTGGCTGCGCGCGTCCCAGCTGTGCTGCAGCAGCAGCAGCAGCTTCTGCTGCTGCTGCTGCTGCTGCTGCTGCTGCAGTTGTTGCTGCTGCTGCTGCTGGTGCGCAAACAAGACAGCGGAAAATGCGAATAGGCAGTTAATGGTGGCAGCAGCATTTCTTTCTGCTGCTCCAGGTGCTGCTTTTGCTGCTTTTGCTGCTTTTGCTGCTTCTGCTGCTTTTGCTGCTTCTGCTGCTGCCGTTGCTGCCGCTGCTGCTGCTGCTGCTGTTGCTGCTGCGCAGCTGCCGGTTTCATCTTTAACTTCGGGCCGAACATGCGGAAGACAGAAGTTTAAATTAAATTTAAATTTAAATTTAAATTTAATCAATTAAAAGGAAAAGAATTCAATTAAACTTAAATCCAATGCAGCAGCAGCAGCAGCAGCTGCTGCTGCTGCTGCTGCTGCTGCTGCTGCTTCTAGCTGCCTTTCTTCTCTTTAACATAAAAATATCTCGTTCCTGAGGCAGCACAGCGCATGCAGCACTTATTAATTAATTAATTAATTCGTCAACTAATTAATTTAAATTATTTATTTATTTATTTATTTATTTATTTATTTATTTATTTATTTATTTATTTATTTATTTATTTATTTATATTTATTTATTTGTTGTTTACTCATTTGCTTTTGTTTTGCTCGCATGCTGTCGTTGCTAGAATGTTTTCTGTGGGTCCCCTGCTGCTGCTGCTGCTGCTGCTGCTGCTGCTGCTGCTGCTGCTGCTGCTGCTGCTGCTTACCCACAACTCCGACTTGCACTGATCCAGTGGAGTCCCCCGTGGGCGGTTTATTAAGAATAACAGCAAAGTTGTTTGTGACTCCCTCTTCTACTGAAAAGAAAAGAATTAGAAAATAAAACAATTCTTTTTAATTAATTTTCAAATTAATAATTCATTTGAATCAATTTTAAAATTAAATAATTCATTTCAATCAATTCAAAGCCACTTGGGGCTTCCTGCGAAGCAAAGAGGCAATTTGCTGCTCGCAGTGCATGCAGCTGCTGCTGCTGCAGCTTCCCTGCTGCAGCAGCAGCAGCAGCAGCTGCTGCTGCTGCTGCAGGGAAGCAGCAGCAACAAAGAAGCAAGAAACAGCAAATGTCTCATTTTGCTTTTTTAGTGGATAAAATGCCACAAATTAAATTACCATTTGCCAGAAACTTGCAAACAAACAAAGTTTATTTAAAACGGGAAAAGAAATAAATAAAAATATTTTTAATTCCAAAAGACAAAAATAAACATTACGCTGAGGTGTATGTACACTTCATGCTAGCACAAAAATAGAAAAGATGAAAAAGAAAAAAAGTAAATTTAAAAAGTCCATTAAAGCGGAAATAAAAATAGAATAAAATAAAACTTTTTAAATATCATAAATGAATTAAAAGCTGCATTTAAAAGGAGAAAAAAGAGAGAAAAAGACAAAAAAAGTGTGAAGTGTTTACTCAGAAGGCTCCATGAAAAAGAATTCAAAAACAAATTTGTGGAGTTAAAAAGAGCCTTTTGGCTTTTTTTGAAAGCAATTTAAAAATATAAAATAAAAAAAACAAATTTATTCTTTTTATTTCATTTAATTTAATTCTTTTTTTGCTCTTTCGCGCAAAAACAAAAAATGTTGCGGCGGCGCCACAGCACTGAGCTGTCTGTACACCGGGTTTTAAAACCCTTTTCGAGGGTTTTAAAACCCTTTTCGAGGGTTTTAGTCTTTTGTTTTCAATTAAATGAATTTAAAATGAAATTAATTTGAGTAGGGTTTCAATTTAATCAATTAAAACAGATCAAAAGAAATAGTGAAACGCTAAATCTGGGGTGTACGTACAGAACGCCTTTTCCGCCTGTTCCTGCACCATCAAAACCATCTCTTCTAAAATTACTGCTGCGTCTCGCAAAAACTGAACAGCAGCAGCAGCAGCAGCAGCAGAAGCAGCAGCAGCAGCAGCAGCAGCAAATATAGCAGCAGGTGGGAGGGTGTCTCGTAATTTCAGCTGGAGATAGTAGCACCAGCAGCAGCAGCAGCAGCAGCAGCAGCAGCAGATGGGCACACGCTCCCTAGCTTCAGCTAGACAAAACAGCAGCAAGTGCAACATCAGCAGCAGCAGCAGCAGCAGCATTTGCTGCAGCAGCAGCAGCAGCAGCAGCATTTGCTGCAGCAGCAGCTAACCAATTCGAAATTGTGTCTTTTGTGGTGTTTTGATCTAAATGCATTTGATACTCGAGAGGTCCAAGTGGCTTCAGAGTTTTCCTGAAAACAAAAAATGTTTTTTGTAAATTTTTTATTTTTTAATTTCAAGTTGTTTGATAATGGATTTCTTTCTCCTCTTTATTTTCTTATTTTTTTACTTGTTTCATTATTTAATTTATTTAATTTACTTAATTTATTTATTTTATTTTATCTATTTAACTTATTTTATCTATTTCATCTGTTTGTTTATTTTTATAATTTATTGTTGCTACTTCTTTTCTCGTTGTTTGACTGCTAAGCCACTTGAGTCTTTTCCACTTACTTATTTATTATATAAATACTTATCTATTATTATTTATTTATTTATTTATTTATTTATTTATTTATTTATTTATTTATTTATTTATTTATTTATTTATCCATTTAGTTGGTTAGTTTGTTAATTAGTTATTTTTTTAATTTAATTAGATCAGCGAGCAGCTTCTTTTTTGACTTTTTGTCAAAAAGAGCTTTTAAAAGATCTTTTAATTATTTTTTCATTTCTAATTCGATTTAAATGGATTTAATTCATTTTAAATCGATTTAATCGCGAAAAATAGATTCAAATTGATTAAAAGTTTTTAATTATTTAATTAATTTAATTTATTTTATTTTTTTCCCACCAGCTCCTCCACGGTAATTTTCAGCTTGAGCAGCCCGCTGCCGTCGGAGAGCGGCAAAGACGCTTCGGTCGTTTCTTTGAACAAAAAATGAAAACAAAAATAAAAATAAAAAAATAAATAATCAAAGAAATTAATATATCGATAGACAGATAAATAGACAAATAAACGAACCAATTAAAGGAAGAAAAACGAAAAAAAAAGAGTAATAAATAAATGCAAAAAGATAAAATCAGCAAAAGTAAGTAATCCTTGAAAAGGACTAGTTACGAAAATCCAACAAATTCAAATAAATGCATTTTTACAAAAGTGTATTTAAAACAAAAAGTCAAATTAATTAAAGCACTTTCTTAAACAAACTTTGTTTATTTTATTTCATTTTATTTCATTTTATATTTATATATAATTTTATTTATGGCATTTGTGGTAGTAATGTACATTGCACAGGGATGTATATTTACTCATCATTAAATAATTAATTAATCAATTGATTAATTAATTAATTAATTAATTTATTTATTTATTAATTTTGTCTCGTTTTTACTTATTTATTTCTTTATTTATGCATTTGATATTATCATTTATTTGTTTATTGTTGTTTCACTATTTATTTGTTTATTGTTTAATCTTTTATTTTTACATTTAATTATTTACTTAGCTAAAGTAAACATGCATATTTATAAATATATTTATATTATTAAAAATAATATAAATATTACAAAGTGTGGAATATAGAAATTACATGTTCAAAATATTCTGGAGACAATTTTCAACAATTTGAATTAAACTAAATTATATTGAATTTATTTAATTGAATTAAATTAAATATTGAATTAAATTAAATTAACTCAATGTGAAATATAGTTAATCAAATTAAGTTAAATTGAATGAAATCAATTTAAATTAAATTAAATTAAATTAAATTAAAACTAAATTAAGTTTAATTTGAAGTGACCAATGAATTAATATAAATTGAAATGAATTAATTAATTTATATTCAAACGAATTAATGAATTTAAATTGAAACAAAATAATTAATTTAAATAAATAAATTAATTTAAATAGAAATGAATTAATTAAATTCAACTTTAATTTAAAATTAAAAATTAAAATTAAAACTTACTACTGAAAGTCCCTTCGTGAGGAAAGCAAAGAGACCCCACACTATCCACAATTTTCATTAGAGCATCCCGCGAAGGTTTGCTGCTCTGCGCCAAAACCCCAAACCCTAAACCCTAAACCCTAAACCCTAAACCCTAAACCCTAAACCCTAGAGCCTCTAAACCCTCGGCCTAGATTCGCAGCAGTCAGCCCGCGCTTCGCAGCGCGAATGCCTCAACCCTAAAACCCTCAGAGGACCCCAAACCCTAAACCCTAAACCCCAAACCCTAAACCCTAAACCCTAAACCCTAAACCCTAAACCCTAAACGCCAGCCCCAATTCAACAAAACCCCCCTATCCCTGTACAAAAGCCCCAGATGAAATAATTCAGCAAAGAGGAGGAAAATAAAAAAAAAGAAAAAATAAAAAAAAAGAAAAAAAAGAAAAAAAGAAAAAGGCATGAGACCAGTGGACCACTGTTGCATGCGGGTGGACCATTTTGGGAAAAAACGAAAAAAATAAAAATAAAAAAAAGAAATAAAATAAATTAAATTAAATTAAATTAAATTCTTTTTACCTCTTCTTCTCCCAAACGGGGGAAAGGATAGGGGGCCCCCAAGTCTGAATAATGAGGAGAAAGAGGATTTCCAACTTCGACGGAAATGGTGAGTCTGCGGCTGTCTCCAGGGTCTAAGAAGGAGGCCCGGGGCCCCCCAGCAGCAGCAGCAGCAGCAGCAGCAGCAGCAGCAGCAGCAGCAGCGGCTGGCGGCGGCTGCGCCGCAGCAGCGGCCGCGCGCGGCCGCGGCGGAGCTGCAGCAGCAGCAACTGCAGCAGCAGCAGCAGCAGCAGCAGCAGAACGGCTGCAGTCCGTCACACTCTCCAACATGCAAAACACTATTCCCAAACAAGACATTGACAGCAAACCCTTCAAGAGGGGCCCCTGGGGGCCCCTCCTTCTTCCCCTCAAAAGAAAGTCCTCTTCGGGGGCCTCTTCTTCCTCTTCGAGGGGCCCCTCTTCCTCATTGGGGGCCCCCGGGGGGCCCCCCCAGGCCCCCCGGGGGCCCCCGGGGGGCCCCCCACCCTCCTCGAGGGGCCCCCATTCCTGCCCTTCTTTGGGGGGCCCCCCGGGCCTCTCGGGGCCCCCCGAAGCACCTGCTGCAGGGGGGCCCCCCTGGGGTTCATATTTGGGGCCCCTGGGGAATCTGGGGGGCCCAAAAATGGGTTTACTTCTTCGGGGGGGCCCCCAGGGGAGCCCCCAGGGGGCCCCTCCGGGGGGCCCCTCAGCAGCATCCCCCACAACGCCGCAAATATCCCTTTCAGAAGGGCCCTGAGAAGCAATTAGAAGGAATTAATTTTGAAGTTTAATTTAAATGAATTAAATTCATTTTTAATTTATTTTAAATTCATTTTAAATTCATTTTAAATTCATTTTAAATAAATAATTAAAAAGAAAAAGAGCATTGAGAAATCCAAAAAAGAAATGGCGGGGCTGCTGCAGGGCCCACCAAAAACGGCTTCCCCGAATCGCTGCTGCTGCTGCTGCTGCTGCTGCTGCTGCTGCTGCTGCTGCTGCTGCTGCTGCTGCTGCTGCGCATTAGCTTTGCTGCGAGACTTCTGCTGCTTCCGTTTGCTGCTGCCAGTTTCGCAGAGCAGCGGAAAACAGCAAATGCTGCAGCAGCAGCAGCCAGCAGCAGCAGCAGCAGCAGCAAACCCTGGGGGGCCCCCCGATGCCGCCCCACACGCAGGGGGGCCCCCTCGATCCCAAAAGCGATCCCGGGATCGGGGGGATCGGGATCGTCTTCTGGGATCGGATCCCAGTTCTCAGTTTGGGAACTAAAAGCAAAAAAAAAGAAATAAAAAAAGAATAAATCAATAACTGAGTGAGTAAATAACAAAATTAAATAAACAAAAATAAATAAATAAATAAATAAATAAATAAATAAAACAAATAGCCGAAAAGATTTTAGTAGTTGCCCCTTAATAGAATTTAAATTTCCGATTTTCAATTCTTTTTTAATTTCCGCTTTTAGTTTTCTTTTTTAATTTTCTTTTTTAATTTATCATCATTTATTATTAGTTATTTATTGGTTATTTATTATTATTTATTATTAATTTATTGTTTATTTATTCTTTTATTTATTATTTATTTATTCATTTACTTATTGCTTTATTTATTTATTAATTTACTTATTAATTTACTACTATTTAGCTATTCATTTTAGTATTTGGTAAGATCTCTTATTATTTTATTTTTTATTTATTCATTTATTTACTCACTATTTATTTATTTATTTATCTATTTACTATTTATTTTATTCATTCTATTAGTTTATTAATTTATTTACTATTTATTTTAATTAATTAATTAATTAATTAATTAATTAATTAATTAATTAATTAATTAATTAATTAATTAATTAATTAATTAATTAAAATAAATAGCAAGGCGACACCCACGAAGCCAGTCCACCTTCAAACAAAAATATATTTTCAAAATAAAATAAAATAAAATAAAATAAAATAAAATAAAATAAATAGCTTTAATTAGAAAACAAATAATAATTAAAAACAAAAAAAGAATAAAAACTCTAAAAACAGAAATCGACAAAAGTAATTACAAATGCAAAAAGAGAAAACAAAACAAACAAAACAAACAAAACAAACAAAACAAATAAAACAAATAACCAAATGAAATAAATGAAATAATGAATTAAATGAAATAAATGAATTAAATGAAATAAATGAATTAAATCAAATAAATGAAATTAAAAAGTCCAAAATTCAAAAATGGGTTTTTTAATTTTAAAAATCCCCTTTTTAAAAACTCACAGCTGCATCTCTTTGGAGCGCTGCAGCAGCAGCAGCAGCAGCAGCAGCAGCAAAGTCGGTGCTGCTAGCCAAAGGCAATGAGCTGCTGCTGCTGCTGCTGCAGCTGCTGCAGCTGCTGCGCTGCTGCTGCTGCTGCTGCCCGGGAGGGGATCGGGGATCGGATCCCGCAGCCGATCCAAAAAGACGATCCCAGGAGCGGTGGGGCCCCACAGGAGGGAAAAGTGTGGGGCGAGTTGGGTGTGAGGAAAACTGCGGGTTTGCTGGGCAGCGATCTGGGGGCAGGTGGGGCCGTTTTTGGCGGTTTTTGAAGCCGAAAAGGAATAAAAAGGTCAAAAATGAGTTTTAAATTAAATTTAAATCATAAAAAAGGTTTAAAATCGCGAAAAACTCGCGAAAATGGCGCAAAGAGCCGCGGGGTGGTGCCCCCGAGGCGCTGGCGCAGCCAGAGTGCCCCCGCGGTCAAAAGAGGCAAAACCCACTTAAAAATCCACTTTTTTGAATTTAAATTCTTTTTTAATTTTAATTTTAATTTTAATTTTAATTTTAATTTCAAAAACGGACTTGGCAGCCCCGCAGACGGCGCAGCCGCCGCGCCGCTCGAACCGCTGGTTCTGTCCAGGATCTCAGAACCCTAAACCCTAACCCCAGCCCTAAACCCTAAACCCTAAACCCTAAACCCTAGCGCAGCCTCTCAAAAAACAATTTTTATTTTCTTTGTTTTAATTCTGGCGAAAAGAAAATCCGAAAAAAAGGAAACTTGCTGCACAGCGGGGGCTGTCCATACACTCGAAGAAGCCGATCTGCAAAGTGCAGCATTAATTCCTCATTTGTTTTTTATTTTTTATTTTTATTTATTTATTTTAATTTATTTTTACTTCTTTTGTTCTTTTGCTTTTCATTTGGTCCATTCTTTCGTTCGTTTGCCTTTCCTCCCCTCCTTGCCTCGAGCCGGAGCCCCAGCCTCTACAAGCCCTAAACCCCAAACCCTAAACCCTAAACCCTAAACCCTAAACCCTAAACCCTAATCCCAAAATCTAAATTTCGGGTTTTATGCCCTGAACCGTGGGCCTAAACTCGTATGGATTGAGTCGCAGCCTCAAACCCTAAACCCTAAACCCTAAACCCTAAACCCAAAGCCCTAAACCCTAAACCCTAAACCCTAAACCCTAAACCCTAAACCCTAAATAGGCTGGCGTCTCTGCATTTTTGGATCCCTGAAGTCTCCAAATGACCTCTTTTTTTAAAATGAAAATTAAATTAAGTCAAATTAAGTTAAATCAAATCAAATTATTTAAATTAAATCAATCAAATTAAATAAAACAAATTAAATTAAATTAAATTAAATTAAATTAAATTATATACACATTAAATTAATTTAAATAATTATTTAATTAGTTAGTTTATTTATTTATTTATTTGGGAAAGTAAAGATTCATTAAATGGAGAGTCCCCGTTTGCCTTTCAAAGCTCGCGAAGTAAAACCCTAAACCCTAAACCCTAAACCCTAAACCCTAAACCCTAATCCCCAGACGCTAAACCCTAAAGTGCGCCTTTTTTCTTGTCCTTCTTGTCCGTTAGTGCCCCACTTGCCTTCCACAGGCTTCCACAGGGTTTAGGGTTTAGGGTTTAGGGTTTAGGGTTTAGGGTTTAGGGTTTAGGGTTTAGGGTTTAGGCCGCTGTGAAGATCCCTTTCTTATGCATC